AGTACAAGTGAAGACGCCCGGGTGGGTGTGGAGACCGATGTGGATTACATTGCACCGCAGTACCAGACGACGTTCCTGCAAAGTATCTGCACGCCAAGGCTGTGGGGCGTATTGTGGACGTTGTTTGCCACAGTGGGTGCGGAAACTGTTCTGATGCTAAACGCGAGTTACATTTTTGCCGCACTCTCCGGTGAGCCGGTGTCGCCATCATTGAGAATTCTTCTGACCGTGCTGGACGGCGTTGGCAGTGCTGTTGGCCGCCTGCTCATGAGTGCGTTTGAGGTCTGGTCACAAAAAAAGAAGCCGGAGGAACGTATTCCCATGACAGCTGCCCTTTTTGTTCCATCATTTATCATGGTCATCGTGCTGGTGCTCATCCTCACGGTGCCAAAAGTGGCCCTTCCATTGCCGTACGTCTTGGGTTCGCTGGCCAACGGGCTCCGTGCTGGCGTGATCGTCCTGATGGTCCGCACCATATACGCCAAGGACGTTGCCAAGCACTACAATTTCTGTTTTTTGTCAACGGTGTTCTCGACGATTCTGTTGAACCGGTTTGCGTACGGCGAGTGGTATACCCGTGAGGCGGAGAAGGTTGGCACCCTTGTGTGCCTGCAACGCCGCTGCGTCCTCATGCCGCTGTTGCTGATGTTGGGCATCAACTGCACATCCTTCATCTCCAGTGTGTACGTGCATATTTCGTACCTGCGTTTCAGTCGCAGGACGCTGGCGGAGCGACGCCGCATCAAAGAAGAGGCGAGGCAGCAAGCAGCGGACATTTGCATCGATCACGCAGAAAATGGCAAACAGTGATCGAGACAACAGCCCTCCCTTTCGTTTTTTGTTTTGATTTTTATTTTTGTTTGTTTTGTTTCCATTGTGCATGTGTGTTTGCAGCGCGGCTTTCGTTACGGCCACTTCTCTGCTCAGTGGGTTGGAGAGGAGGGAATGTGCATGTGTGTATGTATGTGAATTGCAAGTGGGGAATTGTGTGGGAAGAAAAAAACAACAACAACAACTGTTATTTATTTATTTATTTTGATGTTTTACGTGAAAAGAAGGAACGAAATAAATAAAAAAAAAAACAAAGACGATTTTATTTTATTTCAAAAACGGAAGAAAACGACAGCCACGCCCTCTTTTTTTTTTTTTTTTTTTTTTTCTTTTCTCTCTTTTATTATCATTTTTCATTTACTTAACGGAGTGTTGGCTCCAATGACGTTCGAATTTTTTTTACTTTAACCCCCGCTATATATATATATATGCATCTGTGTGTGTGTGTGTCCCTCTTTTTTTTTTTTCTATTTGGGAGGCGGGAGGAGGAGATGAGCGGCCAGGCGGAGAGGGAGTGGTGGGGAGTAGACAAATGTGTGATGGTTCCGTTGCATTCATCCGTTTATTTGCGTTGAGTGGACGGATGTGTGCATTTTTTTGTTTTCATGACTTATTTGTTATTATCTCCAGTGATCTTGTGAGCTGCAGGGCAGGACGCGTGCGGTGTTTTCCTTTTTTTTTTTTTTTTTAGGTGCGAGGGAATGTTTTGTGTGCACATTTGAGCCAACGCGCTGCTCTTCCATTGTTGTACTCTTTTCTTTTCTTTTCTTTTTTTTTTTCTTTCTTTTTTTTTTTGTTTTTGTTTTCCTCCTCTCTTTTGTGGGAATGGAGCGACAAGGCCTCATTTGGATGGCGTAATTTGATGCCGTCTGAATCCCCGTCTTTTATGTTTTCATCAGAGGCATCGGAGAGTTTGGGGGTCGCATGACGACGAGGTGGTGGGAGTTTATTTTTCTTATTTTATTTCGGTTTTGATTTACGGTCTTTTGATGACTGAACTCTGCCCTTTTTTGGCTGCGCCTTGCTGTCTCCTTGCATGCATGCACGCATAGAATTGCAATTCTGTTGTTGTGGTAGGGTGGCGATTTCTTTATGTGCACACACGATTTCTTGCCTTTTCCTGCTGTGCCTTTTTCTTCCCTTCTTGTGTGCTTTTCCTTTTGCCGCCTTCATTCCCTTCTGTCGGTGGGGGCACACAACGCCAGGGAGGAATAAAGGAACTGATTCTTATTAGTGCCATCATCCTATGCCCCGCACACCCACATCCAAATGTTTAACTCAAAGAGCGCAAGGCGTGCATTGCGGAGATGGGAGAATTCGGCCCAAATGGGGTGCATATATTCCGTCTGTTTACGTGGACCGCCCTGTGCTCTCGAATGGTACCAAAGAACCCGCCATTCATACGGTGTTTGCTGAAGACGGTGGAGGGCCGACAGTGTTGAATCCCTAACAAGAGCGGACTGTGAAGCGTGCGGCCCGGGAACTACGTCGTGGCATGCACGTAGAACTTGACATTGGCATGCCCTCCAATGGGGACCTGATCTTTTACCTCTGCGAATCACAAACTCGGAATGCATCACGATTGTAGCATGTGCAGCAGCATCAACAGGCTGCCGAAGAAGGGAGAAACTGTAGCAGCTTGTCTTGCAGGCGCCAGTGACAGCGCTCTCAGTGTGTCTGAGCTCATATGCCTTGTTCTTTGATAAAAATATTTTCTCTGTAATGCTCCAAGGGTGTCACACGGATGTGACGCCTTTGGATGCTTTCCAGGTGACGGCAACCGGCGATATTGCGAGATTGCATGGAGTTGAGAAGGTGCCGTTTGCTGAAACTGTCACCATGCAAACCTTGTGCGGCGGTGGTAGAGGCCTCGTTCTTTTGGAACACGTGGACCGGGACGGCAAACCACGCATCTTTGAGCAGCGCGACATGCCCGTGACGGAGGGGAAGGGTCGGCACCATCATCCTCGATCTGGCGGTGTTTGGCGTTGTGTATATGGGTGACAGTGCTTGCCAGCTGCTGCTGGGGGAAGTGGCGGGGGATTTCACCGTCGAGGAACTCCAATACAAAGCGGGCGGCCCCGTTTCTTTTAACTGCCGAATTGAGTGGGGTGGCCCAGGCGTCGTTTTTTGGTGTGAATGTCATGTGCAAATCCCCCCCCCCCCCCCCCAAAAAAAAAAAAGGTGTTTGTTTGTTTCTTTTTCTTTTTTACTCTATTCTCTTTTCGTTTGGCGTTTCTTCAGGGTTTTTCCCCAGCCATTTTTGGGGGGGGAGCGGACGTCGTTGGGCGAGTGCTTTTTTTTCTGCATGTTGTCAATCCACTGTCAACCTGCAAAGCAATAGTTTTTTATTTCCTTACTTGTCTGTTCCTCTCCTCCTGTGCCACCACCACCACCTTCCACGCAGCAGAGGGGGAAATAAAACCTGCTGGAGTTATACTGGGGCGCTGTGGCGTTTTATTGTGCCGCCACATTTTTCGCATGGAGGAATTTGACAGATGGCGGCTCCAAACGGAAGAAATGTTGACCCTTTCCGAATGATTTATTTTTCTCTCCTCTCTTTTTTTTTTTTTTTTTTTTTTTGTTTCTTTACTTTTTTCTTGTTGCGTTGTTTTGTTGCTGTGAGGCTTGCGAGAGCCCCATGTTGGGCGACGCACACAGGCACATTTGTTTATCCCTTTGCACACACACACACACACACACACACAGTGGCCAGAACGCGGCGGGATGGTCGGGTGAAGAAGTCCAAGTTGTTGGATTTGGGCGTTGGGCCTCACTCTTGTCAACTCCTTTTTTCTTTCTTTTGTTTGTGCCCCTGTCTTTTTTGTTTCTTTCATGTTGGGTGTTTTTTTTCTTGTATTTTTATTATTATTTTGTTTTCTGCATGCGTGCATTTGTATCTTATCGTCCACTTCTTATTTGCTTCTCCCTATTTGTGCCTTGCTCCAAGCGCAAGGTGGAGTTCAAGTCACGTGTCTGCGTTCGGCGAGACTTCTCCGTGGGGAACTGCGTCTGGGCGCCGGTGCAGTGAGCCCGGAGGCACTCCGTGATGCGCTGCGCCGTTTGTTTCCCCCATTTTGTGGGAAAATAAGGCGTCACACGTACGGCACTGCTGCCTCACCACGCACTGCGCCGAGGAGGGAGGGCGACGATTCTCCCTACAGCGTCTCTGGGAGGTGGCGCGATGCACTACTTCTGGTGGAGCTGTCCAAAATGTGTTCGGCCTCCTCTGTGGCCGACGCACGGTGTGAGGAGGCGTTGCCCTCTCGGTTGGCTGGGGCCTCTCCGGCGACAGACGCGGTGACCCACGCAACGGCCGAGAGTGAGACCATCGCATACCTCCTGAGGCACTGCCGATTTCCAGTGGAATGCTGGTGGATTTCTTTGACTCTTTTGGAACGATGGCGGCTGTTACAGACGGAGACAATGTCATTGGGGTCGTTCAGGAAACGGACTTCTTTTTTCCCCACAGATATGTCGCCCGCGTCATGTGCCCATTTGATGCGTAATCTGTCGTATACCTGCGTGGCTTGGGTGGATGTTCTTCGGCTTTACGAACTGGCAACGCGTGATGTCGCGGCTCCTGAGGCAGCGCGTCGACAGCGGGAAACGACTGACCGTGCGGGGGATGAGCCACGGGCCTCCCGTCGTGTCTCACTTCGATGGATGCGGCACACGGCGCTGACATCTCTTCTGCAGGCGAATCAGTGGAAGGAGTCACTGCAGTTCTATCGTCACATGTTGTATCAGGGTGACACGCCAAGTCATGTGTCTGCAGGACACCTGGTGCAGCGGTTGGGCAAGGTTGGCGCCTGGGAAGCGGTGGTTCGCATTTTTGAGCTTCACCTCAAACTGATTGCTGCAACCCCCACGTATTACACCGCACGGCAGGGGAACGATGGGGCGGAAAATCTCTCAGCGCGCGTTGCATCACCGACTGCGGCACCAACACGAGTAGGTGAGTGGGGAACAATGTTTTCCATGTCGTTAGATGTGGTGGGTCGAGTTTGCCGACGGCCCCTTATTGCCATGCAGATGTTTAATGAGGCCTGCAATAAAAATATTGATGGCTCCCTGTTTCGCTGGGATGGCAACTTCCTTTCAGCCGTACAGTCGTTCCCCTCGGAGCTGGATCGCGTGAATGTGCTCCGGCGCGCCCACGCATCAGGGCAACTTGACCACTTTAAGATTATCCGTGGGCTCGTTCACCATGGGAAATGGCTGGAGGCGATTGCGGTCTTTGCGGATGGGCTCGCCACCCAGCAACTCCATAGAAGGGACATTGGTCGTTCCCGACTGAACATTTTGCATGCCAGCAGCGGCGATAGCGTTCAGGCGGTGCTTTATTGCCTGCAACGTCTCACCCGACGTCCGGAGAACTCTCTTCGAGTCAACGATGCGGAGGTGGAGTGTGTGCTCTCCAAAGTTCCGTCCATGCAGCCAACGAGCAGTGGTGCATCATTTTCTTCCATGGCGCATTGGTGTTTTTGTTTGCAGGTACTTTCCGAGAACTACGCCTCAATTGCCACAAGTGGGGGGCGTGGCGTCATGCCTGGCAATGAGGGACGCCGACCCACGCAGCGCATGGTGTCGCTGTTGCTCCGCCACTCGATGCCTTGGAATGTAGCGCTGCGTATATTTGAACTATCATGTCGCCTGAACATGGCTGCGACGCCATACGACCCGGCGGGTGCTTCCTCGACCCCGAGTAATGTGCTCATAATTAATCGTGTTGCTCACATCCTGCATGCACATGGGCAGCGGCAGCGAATGATAGACTTTCTGGATTCTGTATTGTGTGCAAGTCCCTTGTCGCCATCTTCGGAATTGCTTGAGTTTGTCCCGCTTGAGCTCTTCTCGTCCAAGAGAGGAGTGCCGGAGAGAAAGCCGTTGATGGTGGAGGATAAGGTGCTGTACCACTTTGTAGAGACGACGATGAACTGGGAGCGTGCATTGACTCTTCTGCACCTTGTGGAGGA